CAAACAGGAAGATGAGGGACTACTGTGTTCTTATGCCGATGGATTTCCCACCCTTTCATTTATGAAAATTATGTCCTTTGTCAGAAGGACATTTAAAAACCCCAGAGAAACAGAGTGCAGGGAACTCGAGCAGATAATTCAGGACACCCATAGGCCAGGTCAGAACAAACAGCAAACAGGAAGGCAGGAGAACCCAGCAGAAAGTGCAGAGAGCAGAGACAGGAGGGTGCTGGTGGGCACAGCAGCCTTCTGAATTGGCTCAGTGGGGAGAGCAATGTGCTAACATTGAACCTGTCTCTGTGGTCATACCTGGTGTGCGCTCTCCTCCAGGGATGGGAAGGAGGTGGCACTCAGAAGAAGCTGCAAAAAAGGTGGAGGATGGGAGAAGATGGCTTGAAAAGTCAACGGCCGAACTGCACCCTCAGCAAATGGGTGCAGAGGGGCAGAGCAAGAGGCTTGGGGTCTTCCAGGAACCACCAAGCCCTTTCAGCACTGGTGAGATGTGTGAAGAGGCAGGTAAAAGCTGAGCGAGTGTCTTGCGCAGCCCTGGCAGCAGCCTGCAACTGCTCCACAGGGCCCAGCCTCCTGTGCCTTGGCAAGAGCTTTCTGCTCCCTCAGACCTGGCTGGTGGCAGTGGCTGAGCACAGGGATTTGCAGTCCGGACAGAGTTTCGGTCCAAATGCTGCCAGGTCAGCACACCAGGTGCTGCAGGGCCCAGCTCCAGCAGGCAAGTCCACACTTTCAACACAAAGTCAAATCTCCCAGAGCTGTTGATAGGAGGAAGATAGAAGAGGATAGTGATGGGAGAAAGGGTATTTCTTCAGCTTGAAAACAAAGCATCTAAGCAATTTCATCCTGCTGCGCCAAGTCACGTTGCTGCCATGCAGTCAGTAGCAGGCAACGTGCCCTGCCACACTGCTGATGCGAGGCAGACGTGGGTGGAAAGGGAGTTTTGATGTGCCAATTACCCACCGATGGCTTGAGGCGTCCACCAGGCTGTTGGGAGCCGTTTCACAAGATGAAAAGCTTGCGTGGCTGTTTTTGGTTTAGCTTCTGAACTTCCACTGAACCGCGGTGTCAACGTGTTTCCAGCGTAGGAGCTGACAAGGAAAGGTGCAYGGGTAGCACCACACAGCCCCGGCTAGCGCCTGCCTGGCTTTGTTATCAGCTGGCTCAGGTTTCGCTGTTAACCTCAGTTCTGGGCCTGGAGCCACATGCAGTAGAGCAGAGGTAACATCTGCCCCGGAGGCCTCTGGAACAAACACTCATCTCACCATTCAGTAAATAAATCCCACAGTATTTCACAGGTACTGCTGCCGCTATATAGCAGGCCTAGCAGTGACTTATGCTTACAGAAGAAAAGCTGGTCTTGTAATGACAGCATGACAACCTGAAAACTTTGGTGTATGGCATAAATCTCCACTGAATTCTCACTACCAGCCTACCTTGTTTCAGCCCAGGACTGGAACCCAAATGCTCTTTTTAGTGTCCCTCAGTCCCTTTTAGTTCTCCATTGTGAGCATATCAGCCACAGCATCTCCATTTCAGATGGCTTGGCTCTTCTTTCCACAACTCTATTTCCTGATTCTTTTTCCAATCTGCAGTTTGCTGAGCAGAGGATTAGGAGAAACTGAAACAGGCAGAAAAGGGTTTTCTCCAGGCTTGCCTGCAAATACCTTTTCTTCCTGAGCTCAGGTACCCAAAGGCCCCCTGTTTCTGCCTTGTACTGGATACACAGAAACCTCCCTAAATTATGTGCATGTGAGCAGAGGGAGTGTTTTGAAATCAGACCTTCTGAAGTGTGTCTTGAGCCTAGCTCAACTTTGGACACACTGTTGAAATTTGGATTTAATTAATTCCACTTAAGTTTTGAAATGGTGCGATACATTTTTCAGAGGTTCCCCCCCTCATTTCCTGGATCAGAGTCTCAACCACATTCATGGAAACACTGAAAGGGGGAAAAAAAAAATCCCTAGCAATAATTCACCAAGTGGGAACTGAAAACATTTGCTGAAGAAGAAGGAACCTCTTGGTCTTTGGATGCTGGGAATAATTCAACCTCTCCTCCCAGCTCCCTGAGGTTCAAACAGCCCTTTTTCCGGCAGAGCTGTGGTTATTTGAGCAAGCTGCCCTGGGGACAAGTGCATGTTACTTGTAGGATTTGGGCTGGAAAGATCAAGCGCACGGATTTGTAGGCAAGAAGRGTTTTGCTTTTTAATAACTGCCAGGAGTCCCCCAGAAGAACCCAAGCCTGCAGGATGAAGAGTTCTGCTTGGCAGAATTCAGTGCTCATATCCTGGAAGCAGCCGGTAACTGCAGGCATTTCTGCGAGYATCACCTACAACAGAACAACATTCAACACGCAGTGAATGTACCAACCCAGGACTTGTACAAGCTCCACGTTGTGCTTTGTCCTGCACTGCTGCTTTCTGGAGATGTTTCCTAGCACATCTGGTGCCCAACTAACAAAGTTAATACTGCCCAATAAGCACTGAGCTGTCTGTCCTGCATGTGCCACTTGCAGCTGCACAGGCAGCCTGCTCCAAATGTGGTCATTCTTTGACATCTGGAGCATCGAGGGACAAGGGACCTTCTCCAACAAATGCCTGGCCCTAAGGCAGCCAGCTGGGGCACCTTGGAGCCTATGGGCAGCTGCATCTTCCCACTCACATCAAAGACTGCCACATCCATGCCTTAATTCATCCTTTTGAGATGTGGGGACCCTGGGTCRTGGAAAGAAATGAATTGAAACATGCTATTAGAGTACTGTCACCTCCATAAAGTGACAGTGTGGACTGCCAGGACAGGAATGAGCCTGAAACTTTAGCAAGAGGTGCTGAGATGAAAAGCAAGCAGTGATGCTGTCATGCTGTTCCTCCCTCCTCCCACAGGCTCAGTGACTCTGTGAGTCCTTTCCTAATTTCCATGAAACTCCCATGCTTGGTCATGGAAGGGCTTAATTCTACCTTCAACTTCTCTATTCTTTAGAGAAAAAAAAATCAAGTTTCTGGGACTGACTTTCTTCCCCTGCATCCCAGATGAGAGCCCTATCAGCATCACAGAGAGCTGGAAAGAGGCTGAGGGCAGGAGGAGATCTCAACATGAAATCGGTCACAAAATCTGTGTCAATCTGTGTTTCTCTGCTCTCAGGGGGCCAAGTTCCTTCAAGGCATCTGCTGACCTACAATTACAGCTATCATAGAGGGAGAAGTGTCCTGCTCCCCTCAGTCCCAGCCGCAACGGCCACCTCCTCTGCTGCTGCAGCAGAGGTTCTGCTCCTTCCCTGACAGAAGCCAGACACCTCCTCTAGGGCTGCAAGCGTAAGTAGTTCCAGTTTCTGATGTTCAGCTTTGCTGCTACGCACGGTATCCATTGCCCTGAATTCTTCCTGACAAACACCAGACCTGCTCAGAACCTGAACTTCCCACACCGTTCTTTTGACTGAAAAAGAACCAAAAATTCARTCCTATTTGCAAATAGAGCAGGAGAGGCCAGAAAGCTTGCATGTACAGATRTGGAGGTAAATGGGTCATGATCTCCAACATGCATGTTTGCAAGTGGGCTGCAGGGTGACCATGGGTGACCAAAGCTAATCTGAACTGGGAGTTAGATTCATAATATACTGAACACTAAGGTGACTGGTACCCGAGTGGGTTTTGAAGCAATTGCTCCCTTCTCCTTATAAAGCACATCCAGAACAGTGGAAYGTGCCAATGCCTGGTCATCACCCAGACTCTGCAAGTTAAGCTGTTAGCAAGTAAAAGCACTGCAAACCTGGACAAAAAAAAAAACCCCATCCATCTATTTCCCATCTGTCATGTTTGCTCAAATCCATTCCACATAAATCTAGAGTACACATGAGACAAAATATATCTCACTGGCCTAAATTCCTCTTCTAAAACATACAGCACAACCCAAGGCAAACTGCAATCCCACACCAGAGCAGACATTTCAGGACAGATGCACTTTACTGTTAATCACCAGCTGTGTCTCACTCCAAGTCCTCACTATTAATGCCATCTGACCCTAAAGCACACCAAAAACTAGACTGGATCCAAATTTACTGGACTTGCCTATGGGTTTCCGTAGCCTCCAAGTGCCCCATGGTGATGTGGGCATGAAACAGCAGCAGAATCCGGCACCTCTCTCCCCAGTTCCCTCCAGCCWCTGCTGATCCAGACACTGGATAGTGAAGGTGGGTCTTTCTTCTTGGGTAGTTGAACCTAACAGTTAAGATAAAGAGATCTCAGGTTTCCTGAGAGGTAGAAATTTCTTTAACAAAACATTTTGCCATCAGTAAGATGCCTGCTCATTGAAAGAAAATATTTAGATGAAACTAGCACTTTAAAACCTAATTGTAAATCGAAGTATCTGCGTTTCGATCAACTGGAAACAAACTGATCCATTTTGGTCTGAAGTTACTTCAACTCAACAGTTAAAAGAAACGAAGTGAAAAAAAATAAAATGGAAATGAGCTGAGGCTTTTACTTGAACCAAAATGCCTCTTAAACATCTTGGCATGAACACTGAATTTCCCAAATCTCTTTACACTGTTTATTTCCAAAATCCTGCATGTCTGGTTTGCTCAGAGCATGTGAGTGTGTGTAYAAGGAATTGCCTGGCTTGTGTGCCCCAGTGTCACAACTGTAACACACAGACACAAAAAACTCCTGGCACAGGGAAAAGTAGCAGACAAACAAAGGGCATGAGAGAGCACGGATGACATTTGCACTGGCTTCTCCGCTAATATTGGGTAGGGCTCTCACTGTTGCTCACAGCATGGGTTTGGAGTCTAAGGCACTTGCTCTGATGGTGTCACTTGGCATGAGGTGGCAGAAGGAGATGAGTGTGGGGACTGCAAGTGAAGATTCAGTTGTGCTGCCTGGAGAAGCACAGTGCTCCTGCTCGACTCTGTGCATGCCTTGACTGAGTTCATTTGAAAACYGCTCCCGTATTTCTGGAGAGAAAATACAGAAATATAGCTTTGTAATTCAGAACGAAAAACTTACCTTTTTGAACATGAGTCTAGTGGGACAAGCACTGACTTAAAGGGTCCAGCACAGTCCCTAGCAGAACATGCTTTTAATAGCTTACACTGTATAACCATGTACGGTGTCACGAGGCACAGGATTCCATCTCAGTCCTTCCAGCACACTGTTTCCTGAGAGAAAAATTCACACTAATTACTACTAATCAATTCCAGACTGCCTTTCCAAGGATCTAATCTTCAGCTTCATAGCAAAAGCACCTAAGCTTGACTAGAAAAAGATGCTGATCATCTGTTGCCCACAGGGCAAGGGTTGGCAGGACAGGGAACACCAAGCTTTTGTCTCCCTTCCCATTTAAGAGAAAAACAGCGTGTTTGCTGTTGGGTGGCTGCCAGAGCTATTTCTACCAAGTGAATCTACTGTGGACAGCAGACCCGCACAGGCAAGAATTTAACAAGCCAAAACGTCTCCTGTGATATTTGGACTGCTGAAGACACGCAGCCCAGCACAGCGGGGTTCCTCCAGCAGCTGAGCTGCTGRCCGTGGGTGCCGCTCGCTGCCTGCGCACGCAGGCTGGTAGCACAAAGGGCCAGGCACGTTCTTGGACTTAATGAAGCACGGAAAGACCAAGCCAGCATGACAGCAGACACAAGYAAGAATGTAATTAGAGGTGGATTATAAATCTCTGGCTTGGTACCTGGAAACACTTGCATTGTGAGGGAAAGCAACAGCCCTGCTGATGGCATTTGGGCTTAATTTAGGTCACGATTGCAGACAGGGTGCTCTGAGCTGGCAGGGGTCAGATGGCAAATCAAAAACAGGCTCCTATTTGTCTTGACTCCTGCTGCTGGCCTCACCTTTCCAGCCCCACAGTGCAGACAGAAGCAGGCACTGTTCTCCCCTGGCCAGCTGGTGAGCAGCAAGTGTGCTGCAATTCATGCTCACTCTGCTTGCACCGTGTCTGTCCACGAAGTAGGAAAAAAAGACAACACAGTTGGTTTTTGTCAGCTCTAAAGAGCATTTTTAAATCCCAAAAGCAGAGGAGGCTTCCAAACTCAGCAAGGGGAAGGTGCAAGCCAGCTAGTCTGTGGGGCACCAGACTCGAAGACATGGGCCCTGCATTACCTGATGTTCAGAGATCCCATAGCTGGGTTTTGGCAAAGAGCTCAGTGCAGCTCTGTACCTACAGCTCAATCCAGAACAGCTCTTGTCAGACAGGTGACATCTCTGAGCAGAGCAGATCCAAAATCTTTGCTGGTTTTCTTTCCCTCTTTCTGTACAAAAGGGAGTCAGTGGTGCAGACTAGTCTGGGGATTCTCATCCAATGTAAAACCAGTGGAAAGGTGTTTGCCCACAGATGCACTTGCATTCCTGTTTAGCCATTCAGTAAGTCTCATACACTGTGGTTCTCAGATGAATCTTTGGCACAACTGGGTCTGGAGAGTTTCTTGTTCTTGCTGTTGAGAACATCTCCTTTGAACTGTATCCCCTCCACTTGTCACACTGTTCAGATAAACATGGCATAAGCTTTAAACCTGCACCCCTCTTGCTCATGCACATGCCAGGAGCCAGCAGYAGAATTCTGTGAACTTTGAAACTCTGCTTGTCCCTGGGCTGTATCAACAGGCAACAGGGGACAGGCCTGTGGCCTGAGTAGCCTCCCAGCCTCAACTGAGTGGAAGGAGATGAGACTCACTCAAAGCTGGAGAGCACAAGGCTGGCAGAGCAGACGAGAAGCACCAGGCCTCTGCATCCCTCCAGACCTTGGTGACTCTCCTAAAGCATCTCAGGACTCTTCCCCATCCCTGCCTGTGTAGGACAGGGCAGTGACCATCTGACCAGGGCAGGAAGCAACTCTGCAAATCGAGTGTGCTAAGGGATGTTAACAGGAGCATTAACAAATGAGCTGCCGTTTCAAAGGGCTGGGTAAGTGTTTGAAGTGTTAATGGCTGAAGGCTACTGTATGATTTAAGAAAGAATTGGTGTGGACACTGGCCTGCTTTGTGCGAGGGTGTTTGTGCTTCAGGCCCAACAGCTTTCATGCATCTCCAGAGAGGCATATTTAGCTGTCACTTGAACTGAACCCTGACTGACACTTCATGCTGACTTTCTCAGGCCTGTTGGGTGGCTAGTCCGGGAGTCCTGGCAGAAAGCAACACAGAGCTAGCTGCAAAGCTTCAAKTCTCCTCTAAAATCCCTCCAAGTTCCTCCAACCAAGCCATCCAAACTACTCATATCCCCTAAAAAGAACATTCGATTTCTTTTTTGTGTGTGTCCTCCTGTCAGTCTGCAGGTATCCCACCACTTGTGCCTCTTGACMGCTGTTCTGGAGAAGGACACAAACTAGAATGAACAGCACACAGAGGCAGGCAGCCCAGGCCTTCCCCCAGCAAAGACAGCCAACAAAAAGCTCATCAGCTCTGCTCTTTGCAACTGAGGGTGCCTCAGGATACCTTCTGGAGAATAGGCAGCTCAAAACACAGACAGATTTCCACCAGTGCCCACACCTGCAATCTCTGAGAGGGAACACTATTATTACAGCTAAAGGCGCCTACCCTTGGCCAGAGCAGTTCAAGCCCAGCCAGCTCAGAGCTCTTCCCCTGCCAGAGAACAGCTTCAGATGCTTAAGGAGGAGTAGAGGGCTTTGGTGGAGGGATTTGTGTGCCCTTCCAGTAATTAGCAGTTGGGAATCAGAGCTCTTTGTGCCCATACGCAGCGGGAGAGGATTTRTATTTCCTAGTGCTATTCTCCACAGCTCCATCCCCCATGGCTCTATGCTTAGCTGACTTGAAAAAGATGCTGCTTAACCCCAGCTACCTCCACACTCACGTGCCACAGCCAATTATTTCTCTGTCAAGCGGTGCCTAATTATGGGCAATCACTTATTTAGCGCGCAGGCCTTCCTGCTTGGCAAGAGTAGAAGGCAGAGCAAGAACAAGAGCCCTCAGTGCTGTTGGCGCCCAAGCAATGCAGCCTTGCTGAGAGAGGCCACCAACACAGCTTACACTGGGTTACATGGGGATGACAGGAGTTGTTAGGTGGGAACCCAGCCCTGAACACGAGTGGATAATCCACCAAGACACAAAGCCAATGGCGAGACCAACAGCATGTGTGAGCACACTCTGCAGGGTACTCTGGTTTCCAAAGAAGCCTGGTTTGACCCAAATACGCCCATGGCAATGTTGAGGCTACAGTCCAAGGACCTCTTTTGGGTTAGATTAAAAAACACCCCACTTTTCAGCTACTTATGGTTGTCCCTGAGGACACGATACACCAACTTTATAGTTAGAGGTTCATGTGGACGATCCTACATGACATTTCCAGCTGCTGCTGGTCATTTTAAGGCTAATACAGAACATCTGAATCAGATTGGGCTAGGGAGTGACCATACAAGTCATATTGGTCAGGCCARTAGGCGGCTGGAAATTTCCTCCTCTCATTTAGCACAGATGAGGACAGCCTATCTGACTACAGCTTTGGATCCCCTTATGGAGGGAAACCTAGACAAGTTGTGAAAAACAGAGTCATGACAACAAACATGAGATTTTTTTGGGAAAAATAGCGCATTTGGGAGAAAGACCCACTGACGAGTTACAAAGAGAGTATGTCCACGCACACTCACTGTTTGCAGCCACCCAGGTCTTGTGGCAGCAGGCATGTTTGCAGCTAAAAGAGGTGAAACAGAATTCCGACTTATTTAAAAGCTGACAAACTACAGTTTTAATCTGCTGGCAGTTTTTGAACAACAAATTCAGGCAAATCCTAGGTTTTACTCACCCAGGAACTTCTCGGTCTGCAGATCACTTGCAAGCGACGCATTGCAGATACCCCAAATCGATCCAGTTGGGAATCCAAGTCCCAGTTGTTTTGCTGTGGGCACATAAAGAACACAAGTTGGGTTTCTGGGAAAAATCCTTTGTGCTGTGACAACCTGCAAACCCACTCTAACACATACAGATAAGTATTATTTTAGCCAATCTAGAAACGCACTACGAGTAAACGAGTAATCCAGTTACAGGAAAGAATAAGGCAGATGCCAAGGGTGTCAGGGGAGCAGGRGGAAAGCAGAGATAAATGCTTATGTGCCTTAAAAATAAATGAATAAATACAGCCCTTGTTTTACTGTTTTTTTCCCCCAACTTGCTAAAATATGCAATTAGCTCATTTACAAATCAAGGACTGATGGCTTATAAGCAACTTGCTCTGAATTCYTGCTTGTGTTCCTTCGCTTCTGAAAGCTGAAGCTGTTAATGCTCCCATGGAAAAACTACTAAGAAGTTTCTAGTTTGGTGTGTCTTCCAAAGCTACATGAATTTCAATAAAAACAAAATGTTTTCTGAGAAGTTCTCCATCCCCTCCAGCCCCCATCAGCTCCCCATACCTCCYGAACGAGTCCTTGAAAAAGGATATTCGTGGCAAAATTTCCACTTGGATAAAGAACATTTCATTAAGGAACAGAACTAGACACTGAATAAAAAGTTCAGACCTATTTTTTGTTGAAACCCTGGCTAGATCTATTTTCCTAAATTGCTTTTCTTCCTCCACTTTCATTTTGTTTTTCTGATTTTTTTTAATGGAAAAAGATATTCAAATAAAAAGGACTTGGAGGGTCCCAGTTTGAACCCTACGGAGCTTTTACAGCTCCTGGACTCTTAACAGATTGGGACTGTTTGTTTTAAATATGTGTTACACTTATTCCAAATAAACTCCATAAATCAATCTATGTAATAGAAACCAGAAAAGTTTATGCAAAACAAATATAGAAAGCCATAAATACTGTGTTTAAGATGTCATTTTTGTGGCTGGTGCATTTCTACGGTATGTTTTTACTATTCATAGGATAAATTTTTCAGAAACACTAAAATCTTTCCTCCCCTCCATTCTCTATAGGTTTATCCCCAAGAAATAATGAGGCTAGATCCATAAACCAGCATTTATTAAATCCAAACGGGCACTTCATCTTACAGTAGCCCTCAATATAATCTATTTGATCTTTCAAAGTAGTTGGAAAATGATTTCAAGGGGAACTTCCACAGAAGAACAAATTAACTTGAAAGAAGGGAACATTTTATACCCCCAAAGAGGGAGGAAAGCAATTTCCTCAGTTTGTCTGTTCCCGGATTTGCCCGGCCCCGACGGCAGATCCGCATGCTCCAAGAGGCTCTCCCCACAGCTGCTCTCGCATGAGCTTTGCTGCGATGCCAGGAGCTCATGCAGAGCAGGGTGACAGACTCAGGGGCTTATAAAGCTGCGACCATGACAAGTTCATCTTTGGTAAAACTCCAGATCGCTGGAGAGCTGGGAAGGAACAGACTTTTATGGAAATTAAAAGCAGTTTCTTTGAATGGCAATTAAAAGTCTACCTCTCAGAAGTTGCTCTTCCGTATATTTGAAGGAGTTTTGTTTCCATCTGCTACAGCTCTTGATGCTGCATGTTAAATAAGTAGATAAAGTCAACACTAACAAGCCTTTCCGAGCAAGTTCCTCAAATACCCAGTGGGACAGCAGGAATCTACCCAGTCTCAAAGCGCTGTAGGAATTCTCTTTGCTAGTCTGATTTATGAAGCCTCATCTTCCCCCTCAGTCTGCAGGTTTGTGAAGGCTGCAGGAAMCCAGCAGAGAACAGAGCTGAGAAGGATCATGGCCCATGGGAGTAAAGCAGAGCAAAAGGAAGAAAGGGCAGTTTTCTCTAAAGGCCGAAGGAGAGTCAAGCAAAAGGTCTTGGAAGGAACATGGAGCCAGCACTGCGCTGTTGCCTGCAACACGTTGAACTGTTAGTGCTGCATGAGGCTGGATACACAGGGAGCCTTGCTTGGCTCCTGGTGAAAGCTTTTAATGCCATTTTGCATAAGCAAGTCCCTTCTGGCAGACACACTTGCTGGGCACACAGGAATTGCCTGAAGAGACTGAATGCTACTCGCCCTTGTAGACATTTCCCTCTTCCTGCACCCAAAGCCTATCCAGCACCAAGAGGTCAACCAAACGTCAGACAGGAGCTACCCACTTGGCACCGTGAAGCACTTCAGGTCACCTGTATCCATCTTTTTGAACATGAACAACCTTTGTTTGAGCTAAGAGTTACTACTTCCCTTTCCAGTAAYTCCCTGTAACCTTCCAAGAGAGACACACTCATTGGTTGCTCAGTGGGTGCTGTGTTCAACCACAAAGGTGGCCAAATTTCAGTGGTTTAAAGTGGGACTTGGCAATGGAAGCCTGGCAAGGTAGCAACCCTCATATATCAAAAAATATATATATCAAAAATCCTCCCTGAAAGTGTATTACAAGGATTAAATCACATTCAAGAGCCTCTTGGTCTCATCTTGCAGTTAAAAATAATACACTCCTCTYGCTGATCTCTGACTAATCTTGCCCAGGAGAAAAAAAAAGAAGTCACCCCAAATGTCTGTATGTGGGTCAAGATTTTGGTGAAAATGCTGATGATATTTCAGGATGGGACTGCGAGCGAGGCGAGTGTCCTACGGCAGAGATGCAGGGACAGSGTAGCAGGCCAGTGGCTGGGTGAAAAGCTGGAGCCGTTTGGCTGGGCTGCTTGGCAAGGTGCCACGGCAGCAGAATTGTCCCCTTGTAAAGCAGAGGTGGGACACGTAGAAACAGGGTGTCCCTCGTGCAGCCTTCGGCGAGCGGCCGGAGCAGGAAGCTCCTGCGGATGCCGGAGCTGCTGCAGGACACACTGCTCCTCCCAGCTCCGGCAGAGACTTTGCAGATGCTCCAGCCAAGTCACGTTCTGCCAGCCCCATGCCTCAGTTTCCCCAGCTGCAAACCATTACAGGGATGTTTTGTGGCTGAATTCAGCCCTGTGCCTGCAGAGCAAGCAGAGCTCTTTATGCAGATGATCCCARGGAACATAAAGCATCGATTTCAGATTTTTCCTGTGTTGCTCTCTGATCTTTGATGCTGTCACCTGAATAATTTACAATGCACAGAAGAAAAAGGCAAGACCAGAAGCATTTGCAGCAAAGCATGCAGCCTCCCCCGAGGCATGGCCCAGGACTTCAGAGTTTGGGGAAGGAAAGAATGTKCTCCCACCCCTCACCAGGCTGTCTGCATAGCGGCATGCGAGCTCTTGTCGATCAGCCTGCAGATCTGGGGACTGACAGACTTTGAAGTCAGAGCTTGGCTTCCCTAGTTTTCTGCAGGGACTCGAACAGATCAAAGCTGCCAACATTTTTGAGGTCTCTTGACTGAGACAGGTTGGTAATGGGAGCCCAGAATTTGGGACTGGCTCCTAATCTCCCTGGGAGCATCACAAGCRCGAGCGTACCGCGGGCAATCTGGTGGCCTTGCCTTGTCTGCTGAGCGTGCCACRAGCTGCAGATGGAGGGCAGGCTGCAGGGCTGGGACGCATTCCTAGGTGCTGTTCTCCAGYCCGATGGATCTCCTCTGCAAGCAATTTTTGGGCAGGACTTCCTTCCTGAAGTCCAGACCTTCAACAAAGAGGCAACAATGGCAACAAAAACGTTACTTAGGTTTTAGATTCTATTTGGAGTTGGAAATGTGGTGGATGGGATTCAAAAATCAACTARTTTTTAAAGGGAAGGGGCTCTGATTTAGGGCCTGCACTTTGTTCAGGGTGCATCACACATCCCGATCCAGAATGCAGGATCAGAAGCAGCAAAAGAAGTTCAGGGCACTTCTGAATCACAAGCTTCTTTCAAGGGCTGAGAGTGCCCCTCTCTCACGCCATGCACACGGGACACAGGTACAAGCTGCTTCCAGCCTGATACGGCCGTAAGGGGCAGAGGGCAGAATCGGTGGGAGAGGTTTTAGAACCTGCTGCCTAAGYGCCGAGCCACCAGCCTGCGTGGGCTGTGTCTGGTGCTCAGGCATAAATCAACTCCTGAATATGAGGTTTCTTTGATTACCATGTCCAACGGCTCTCACTTTCGTTGTCGTGCTCTTCGACACGCGAACAAGCACAGCTCTGTCCCTGCACCCCATTACGTGCTGTAAGCAAACAGCGTGTGGAGAGAGGAGCAGCAGGGAAGCAGGCTGCTCAAACAGCCCTTTCACAGACTCCACTTGCTTGGCACAGAAACCTTGGCTGTGTCTGAGCTTCAGTTATAGCTCAGGTTGCTCCAGACTAACCTTGTCCTGAGGTCCTCTTTAGGAGAACTGCTAAGTGTGATAGCAGAGCAGCCGCTGATGCTCCACTGAGCAAGAGGCCACACTCCTAAGTCAAGCTTTGCAATTCTGTAGCACTTCACGCTATAAAGCTTCACACATGCAGATCCCAGAGACCACACGGTCACCCATTACGGGATGGACAGCTGCATGCTGAAGAGTCTAGTTCTACAGGAGCAAAACCCAAGTCATTGTCATGACCAAGACTCACTGGTGGGCGATTTTTTTTGGTGTCACATAAGCTACCAAGAGTCACAAATGCCCCGAATCCCCAGGCATGAACACAGCCTGCAAATGAGCCATGTGGTAATTGCTGCATTGCAAAGGGACCTCCGAGACATTTGCAGGAAAGCCTTTGGAGACCCCAGCACACCTCACGAGCACAGCTCATCAATATCTGTCCTAACTGGGAAGCAGTTATGGGCTGTAAAATTCACATTGCATATCCTGTTACTGAGATATTGTTCTTGGCCTTGAGTTTCAGCTCAAAGATACCCAAGCCTCATGTTTGAAATTCAAGACCTTCTCTCTGCTTCTCCACCCCATGGTGAGCGGATCAAATTCACCCTTTGCTGAGACTTGCCTTTTTTTTTTTTTTTTTTTTTTTTTTTTTTTTTTTTTTTTTTTTTTTTTTTTTTTTTTTTTTTTTTCTCTCCTCCTTTTCCTTTGGACTGGAAAACCTTTAGAGACTGACATATTGTTCATAGACATATCCCAGCTCTGAACTCAGTCAGATCTTATTGCAGGGAAGCCTGATACTTTGCAGTGTCCCACACAAGTCCCAGTTAGTCTGCTTGAGAAAACTGGTTGCCATAAGTCACAAAATATTCACACTAGGAAGACCTCATTAGTACCAATAAAATGGTTTCCTGAGAGCACTCAGAGATAACATCTAGGATGAAAGCAGAGCTCATAGCAAAAGCAGAACCTACTCGGTCAGTTAGAGAGCCCAGTTTCTTTCACTGTTGTCGTGGACCTGCCGCTTCATCACAAACTCCAACAAGGAGACCCCAAAGACGGAGCAAACACCAACAAGACACCCCAGAGCCGGAGCACAGGGACACATCTGCACATCGCTGCCTCCCTGCAAGTCCTGACACAGGGATGTGACCCAGCGCTCAGCCTCCGTCTGCTGCTTTATTCAACATTGCACCAACTTCTACCTTTTCGCACCACGCAGGCTCGGTCCAACGCCTCGGGCACCAACCAGGACTTYCCTCGTTCGAGCACCTCTCATGTTTCTGGCTGAGGTCTTACAGCAGCAATTTCATGCCTTTTAAGAATTCAAGGAGGTATCAATCATCTCACACTCATGTTCCCAACTGGCATCTCTCTAGAGCTGGGGACAGAAGAATTTACACTAATATACAACACAACTTGATCCTTTTAAATAGTTTGACTAGCAAAACCTTAAGAGTAGCTTTTAAAGAACTGAAATCAGTTTAGTCAGGCACCAGCAAATGAAGAAGGTCATTCAGAAGCCTTGTGTGATTTAATATAGATTAAAAAAAAATGCTTGGGTTTCTTATTAGTGAACTCAATTGCTGTATTTCAGCTTACTTGCTGTTTCTTAAATAAAAGCATTTTCACTTTTTACGAGGCAGTCAGCAGGTGTACACATAACTTCATCTCAGTGTCTGAATACTACTTATTGCTCATTTAACTCTGCAAAAATTATATTAAAAAAAGTAGAGCCCGTCTCAAGAAAAATAAATAAAAGGAGAATGTTGTGGAGTTAGAGTTCTCTTTTTTTTTTCTCTCTCTCTCTTAACTTGCTAATCAAAACAGGAGAGGTTTTCTTGAACATTTCTTCCAAGCACTGTTGTTATAGGTGTTTCCTGAGGAAGTGACTGACTTTTTTTCCCCCATGACTCTCACCCTCTAGTTTTTATTTTTATTTTTCTTCAAGCACAGAGTCTGAGAGGTACAAGCAAACCAGCAGAGCAGACAGTTATTTAGCTCTGCTGTTTAAATAAACTGATGGAAAGAGAAGCAGGCTTTTTTTAATTGTGATTTAGTAAAGCAGAGCAGGGATACACGTAGTCATGTGCATAATTTTAGGCAGGTGCCTTGCTAAACTATGGCCTCCACACAAGCCCATCAGTGAAATTAAATGCCATCCAGCTATTTTATGAGCGGGCCTCARCACAGAGCTCCTGCAACTGGAAGCCATCTGGGGAGGGGATGGTTTCGTGCTCTGTGTTTTCACGGCTCCCTGCCCAGTGGGTCAGGACCTGCTCTGCTTGGAGGGCTCCTAAGACCCGTGACCCTCCTTTGGAGGCCATTTGAAGAGTCTATGGCAATGGGAGCTGTTTGTGACAAGTTTCTAGGCTGCTGAACTCGAATCCCTGCAGGAAGGTAACGATTTCTCATGTTGGTTTATCCTCCTTACAGTCAACTGTGCACATAGGGCCTGAAGCTGAAGCGCAATCCTCTGTGTAACCTCAGTATTGAGAGGCCAAAGAGAAGCTACTGCAAGGCCTAATCTTTGGTACTTACACAGTAGAGATTCCAGTCAAGCTCATTGGAGCTTTCCCAGGTTCAATCACACAGAATCCAAGCTGTGGTACCAGCTTTATGCATCTTTAGAGAGCAGTTCACAGTCGCCTTTGCACAGAAGCACTACGCAATAAATCAATGTAGAAGGCAAAGCTCAGAGCTTAATTCTGTATGCAGATAACTAGGCAACTAGCAACGTTGTTCTCAGGTTTTATATCAGCATGCTTGCTTTCAGTTCAGTGTGGTAACTCTAGACTTGCCAAGAATAAAGCCAGTAATCCCTGCTTCGAGTGGGGTTGTAGCTGATCAGAACAGGGACAGTGTATTTCGGGCAACAGATTTCCATGGGCTTTTGCCATTGCTCCGTAGCCAACACGGATTGGAGAACTAAAAAAAAGACTGCCAAATCCTCAAAAGATTTTAGTGCAAGAGATGCAGACCACATGTGCTGAATGGTAGGTAAACAGRTCTTGAGGATCAGAACAAAAAGGTCTTTAATAGCCCAAGCAAACTAAAGTAAATGCCAGAATCTAAATGAACTCGAGCTTTCCAAAGCCTGAGGCTACTAAAATTTCAGCGCTCAAAGTGCAGCCTCCTTTGTTTCTTAGAAAGTTCTAAACTGCATCACGTTATCAAGAAAAATGGCCCTGTCCTTTTCCCAGCAAAGCATCAGTGTCCTTTGATTTGCTTTTCTCTTTAAAGCATCCTATCTGACAAAAACCAGTCCCTATCAGACTATTTGAGTCTCCTTTAAAGGTAAGTGTGGCTAATTTCTTCACAAGTGGGTAGCCAGCAAATTGGAATATTGCCAATAAATTAAATATCACTTACTAATGAGCAGTGTAATGTGGAATACAGAAACCCAACGGAAGGCACACTRGCAGAAAGACAGCCCTAACACAGGCAAAACTTTGAAATACTTCAGCTTTCTATTTTCAAGTCCTGCATGCAGAAACATACACACAGAGCTGGATGAGAAGGGGAGTTGTCATTTTTGGGAATGACAAATCTGAGTGTCAAGTAAAAGCACATGGGTTGAAAAGGACTCCAGTTTAGCCACTATCCAAGGACTGGTACTGCTACGTCCATAGCGGGTAGACGGAATTATTCCACCAACTAAGATCCCCGGTTCTGCCTTGAGCAGTCTCAGAAGCAAAATCCCTTCAGATCAGGGAGGCTTTGTGCATGAGACTGCCTGGAGTTTTATCCTGGTTGGGAACCAAATACTCCTGCAAGAATAAATCCTCAGGCAAAAGTCCCAGTTGGCCCCAGGATGTATTGCTTCTGTGGAGGCTGATGGGGTTAGACAGCTTTTGGTTTGTTTAAAATAAGTTTCGGCTGCTGCAGCATAAACTCCCTACTGCTCTTCGGCTCCGCCRGGCTCTCCCCTGCTCGCAGCTTGTGCTCTGACCACCAGCAGCTGCTGCTCCCATCCCGCCAAGTACTTTTACACTGTCCAGCTCTGTCAATGACTCCAGAGCACTGCAAGCACGGAGCAGAAGGAGATGCACTKTCTCCCTGCCTCTTCTAAGACCAAGTCCCTCTTCCTTTTGTCCACTGCTCCCATCTTTCCCCACCTAAGTTGTTYTTCCAATTCGCGACCCACCATTACCTTTAAATAAAGGAGGCTGCTCTCAGTTTACCCCAGTATGAAATAGGGTCTGATCTGTGCAGCAAGTCCCTTGAGTCAYGACAAAGCAGGTCTCCAGCCCTGTGCCCACCTTTGGCTCTGGAGGATCASTGGCACCTCACCAATGTAAAGGAGAGCCAAAGGGCAGCTGAAGCCCCTTCTCACCTCAGCAAGGGCCAAGCCAGTAGCCAGCTTACATGCCCTGAACCACAGGCTTCTTTCTTCTCTTGCTCATCGAAATTCCCTGGGGAAGCATGTACTGTCTTTAGAGCAGAACTTGCTTTATGTGGGCCAAGGTATCCCAAATCAGGGGCAGGAGAAAGGCACTGGATGTGGCAAAAGGCAATGTCACTAAAGAGGCTGGGAAAGCGGAGACAGGTCACACAAGCAGGGAATCTAAACCCTGTAACAGGTCTAATTTTGAGATTAGAGATGCTTTGMTACCCCACTCATATAAAGCACATGAGTACCATTTTAGTTGTAGAGCTAGAAGGCCTGTATCACATCCCGTCTGCCCCTCTTCCTTCTCTCCGGATCCCTACCCAATACACAAACCAATTAAAGCAGAGTCTATAAGTAGGAAAAGCTCATAAAGCAGCACCAATTCGTAAGTTCCTCTATGGCCCAATGAGTGAACAGGAGGGAGGAGGGGTAAAGAAAAAAAGAGYGAAAGTAGTATAGTTCACCTTGGGCCTCTCTTCCAAACAAATTCTTTCCAGTACTATTTTACAGGTTTGCACAGTCCAGCAACGAACAGAGACCTCATAGCAAAGCAGGCATTTTAAAAACATGCTAAACTACTATGAAATAAATTACTGACTTAACAGCTAGGCACCTACAGGTATAGCTGGGCCTCATTTGAAGAGCAAATTAAAGCAATGTGCATATTAGCCCCTGAGCCTCAAGGAAGAATTATATAAAAAAAAAAAAAAAAAAAAAAAGCCTGGAAACTTTCCAAAGTGCACAAGGTTAGCAGAACCCTGTCAAAGAGTCCACAGGAGACAGGAATCACAAGGATCGAGCCCCACGGATGACCAATTCCCACCTACATCCATGATTTCCAACATTTGCAGGATGTCTTAGGGCTCTATTAGCACCTATACTCTCAGATCTCAGTTCACATGCTCTCAAAGGCCAAGCTGGGATAATGCCCTGACTAATGAAAAATCCTCACTCATCGAAATTGTTTTCCAGCAAGATATTCCACGAAAGAGACAACATGTCACAGGCCCCAGTTGATAGACAGCACTTACCATTGCAGGAAAGTTCATTAGAACAAGCCTCTCTTTGCAAGGTAGCACCACAAAAGGATGGGACCAACTTCCCTGCTGGTTTAGCTTCCTCCCACTGTAACTCTTCTCCTRCTTCCCAACTCCTTCTCTTTGCTCCTGCCAAAGAGGGGAGGAAAGGATGAAAGCAACTGAAACAGCTGAAAGGGAAAATAAGTAACAGCCATTGAGGACTTGAAAGTTAAGCAAGGAAGTAATTAGTGGAACAGCTGAAAGAGGAAGGCATCATGAAAGGGCAAAATGGTGGATAAAAAGCCAGATGAAAGAAGAGAGATAACGAGCAGGCTGTAAGCAGCTTAGCGAGGCTGCTCTTGGCTGCTACCCCTCCAGCTATTTCTAGGTTCACCTTTCTACCAACTCTGTCCTGAGAGACACTTGCTTCCTTCAAACCTGCCCGCTCCTGAACTCGCTGCCCTTCCCTGTCTGCAGAGAGCACTCAGCTCTGCCTACTGCTTTATTCCTTATGACAGATAAGGCCACTCAAATCCCAGCACTTGCCTCCCCYAGACGAAGGGCCTGGATTTCAGCTGTGCAGCTTAGTCCCCGTTAGGCACGGGGCAAATGCAGCTCAGTGTCTTTGTCTTGACAGCTCTGCTCTCAGCCCTGCCTGGGGAGGCAAGAGACTTGCATGGGTATGTTGAAGGGCACAGCCAGACCTTTGGAGAGAGTGAACAATTGGACACAAAATCCTGTTAGAACAAGGCAGAAGGGAGGTTTGGCTGGTGTCGATTCAGAACATGAGACTGTAATAATATTTGCCCTTGGTTCAACCTCATATACTGCATACAAAAGCCTCTGTTTGAATAAAGGAATGGTCAGGGAGACATCAGCTGAGAAGAGCCAAGAAACTCAAATCAAAGTCCCAATTCTCTCTGTCCGGAAATTTAACTGTTTTGGAAAGAAACAAAAACACATGAGAGGTAGACAAGGAAAGGGCAAAACAGATTTCTTGCTGAACTTTCTCACATGTGTGTTCCACAGAAAGGGTTCAAACTATGCATTTTCTCTTTCAAGAGACCAGTTTGGCTCTGCGAAAGCAGCCTTGGCTTCTTGCATAAATAAAGTTGTACTGTTCATTATAGCCTGCAGGACACGAAGGAAAGAACCAGGAATAAGATGAGCTAGGCCTTGTCCTGTTCTACTTTTGCCATGGGACAAGCAGGTATAGCAGTAGTCACTGAYGGAGGCAGGTCAGCTAGAAATATGGTCCTAAACACATGTGTGAGGCGCTTCTGCCTTCTCTGTTATACGTTACTGTCCTAGAAGACTATTCCCTTAAGGACTCTGTAGAGTGTCTCTTTGGGCATCCAAATGCTAATATATGAAAAATGGCTGCTGCAGTCCAGGAGACAACAGCATGACCGTGAAGAGAGCAGGCAAAGCTTGACCATGTATTTGGATAGCCTGTGTTCACCTCGCTACCACCCTCAGCTCATGGCCTTCTTTAGAAGTCTAAATTAGCACCAGGAACAGAACTGTGATAACGCTGAGTGGGAATGAATCAGATCATCAGTTGCAAGATTCCTTGCTTCACTCCTTCCATCCCACAGATCCTGTGCCTCGACAGAATGGAACAAGGCAGCTTTTCTGAGGCATTTACCTGAGCAGTCTGCACCAAAAAGCTGTTCGCCTGGGGTGAACATCAGCACCTGCTCTTTTGTCCCATATATCTTTCCTCTGAGGATCTAGGTTGGGTCACCGTGGGAAGGAAAGCCAAGAAGGGGGTATGACACCCCTGACACGTGGCACTCACATCTGGAGGAGCTGCCAAAACAAGCTAGTTCTTCAGATTAAATACAGGTGAAATAACAGCTTTAGCAGTAGTAAGTAGGTGGCAGCATGCATGAGTTGAGCCTTCAACTTTCTCATGCCAGAATAGGTCATTTCCAGTGCTGTTAATCTCCAGTTGCTCTGTTGTCATGACATTCCATAAACAAATGCCCATCAGAAGTTTCCATGCAGTCTACCATTTTGAGAGGAGACAAAGATCACACATCAGGTAGGTCATTGAATGTAGCCTGAAGAGCCAGCTCCTCTCCTGGCAAATTGATGGCCTCAACTGCTGCTGGACTGGGAAAGAGACAGCAAGAGTGGTCATACCAAAGAAAGTGCACATGAGAGCAGATTTCAGCCCATATGATTGCCCATAACTTCTACTATTAAAAAATAAAAATGACTTCTTTTTGGAGGACCTCAGTAGGTTGAAACTCAGCAATAGTAGGTACTGCTACCAGCATCTTCTATAGCTTCTGTCCTGTGTCTCCAAACCCAAATCTTTCCAACTCCCATTTCTAGAGCTTAGTTACTTCATCATCCTTCTATTTATGCTGTTATGTTCCAGGCTAACCAAACCTTAGCAATACCCTAGTTAGAAAGAGTTCAGTTACCTCCATATAGTGCCAGCTCCTTAGCAAAGTCTGTTCCTCCAACTTTTCTCCACAGACATAAAAGCATGGGAAGTTTTACATCTTTTCTGCAAAATAGCCAGGTGCAGGGATGGAGCTGCACAGGATTACAGACTAGAACAGATGCTGGTTGAATGCATGTGGGCTCAGAACTAGTCTGCTCCATGTGGAAGGATGTTGTGGGCTTATCCTGCATTTTTGCTGCGATTTTCTTGGCAAGTCTCATTAGAGTCTGTTTCAGCACGAGTATTTTTGTTCCATTATGCCATGCAACAGTCTATAACTTTATGTACATGTCCCTGCAAATTACTGAGCAGTTATGTGCAGTGGGTACAAAAACAAATTCCATGTAACTTCCCTTTGCTCAGAAAAACATAAATAATTTTAAAGGTTTCTACAGAGTATGCAGAATTTATTTAATACTCTTGATAACGTTGCAAGTGAGATCTTAATTCACCTTTACAGATATTACTGCTGGATCAAAAATTCTACTGTGGATCTCCTTTCAGGAACAGGAATCAGAACTGACCTTGCTGTTCTCACGCGGGCAAAAGGATGTGTTAACTCAGGCTGTGGGCACTTCTTTATTATACTATTACACAAAGAGTATTTTAAAAAGTCAAATGGTATCATTATCTCCAGCATGGCCATGCTGGTCATGTTTACATGCCTGGCACATCCTCTGGCTAGGAAGGAGGGACAGGATGCAGGTGCTTCGCTTCGGTTAGACAGAACACCACAGATCCAAAGCCTTGACTTTCCTCATTTCAGCCTGGACGCGCTGCATCCATCCTCCTGAGAAAGCAAGTGACCTAATCCAGTTTGCTGTTAATGAGCACTGTGTCCTCTGCTGCCCAGCTGGAGGCACAGAGAGGTTCACAAAGCCATCAACCCAGAGACACAGCCAGTCCACCCACCAGTGGGATTGCAGCCTACTGCTCTGCTGCACCATATTGCCTTCAATTGTACTTACACATTGCTTCCTATTCTCACAGACCAGTATTTGGGACCTAAAATTCTTGCCTATGTTTGCCCGAGGTTGAAAATCGGAGCCGAATCATGTTGCTGCGGCCCGTTTTTAGATAGCCTGTTGATTTGTCTTTTCTATGGCTTTTTTCTCTTTTGATCTCCAGGGCTATTCACAGTTCAGTTGTTTCCCAGAAGCAGCTTGTTGCAGTTTGCTTGGGTTTGAACTAGCCTTTGAAACCACTGACGAGGAGGCATCTCACTTCTGCACAAGATCTTGAGGAAACAGCAGGATAATTTATGAGAGAAACTACAGGTCTTCAAAGGAGAACATCTTTTCAGCAGAAGTCCCTTTTCTTCAAAGGAAAATTTCCCTGTGCCTTGTGAACCTGCATGTCTCTACATAAAATAAATATGTATTTTATACTCACCCTGTCTGTGGCATGGTATGTGTATGCATAAAGGCAAAATGCCCTCAGAGCATTGCAAGAGGTGATGTCTGAGGATGGAAAAAGCCCTGCAACCCAAAGGTGGATATTAACAAGCTTCAAGGAAGCAACCAGCAGGACAGCACGGGAGCAGGCAGCGTCCCGGCACCTCACAGAGAAAGGGGTTGGCTCTGGCAGCAAATGGTCTCCAGCGAAAATAAGCTCATGGAGATGATTAGAAAGGCAGGACTGTAGGGTTGGCTTGGGAAGTTGTGGCTCTGCCCTTCTGGCTGATGCTGGGCAACTCATTTCACTGCTCCCTTTTGAGACTGAAGCTGTCTGGAAAGAAACAGAATGCCCCTAATTTGCCTTCCACACAACTCTTCAATAACTCTCCTTCTGCTGTTTAAAAGAGGGCTGAGGAGCGGCCTTGGACACAGCCTCCAGCTTGATCTCTCTGCCTGCTTCCCACAGCAGGGCTTCCCAGGCTGATTCCCAGCTGCCGGAGCAGGAGCATGGAACACGCAGCTACCGCTCCATAGCCCAGCCTTGCTCAGCCACTGCAGTGTGAGAAAGAGCAGCCTCAAGCTGCGCCTACAGCTGGGCCTGGTCTTGGTGTTGCTTCCTGCCTTTATGGGCAACGAACCTGGGCCTGGGGGCAGCCAAGGGTGTGTGCCCAACAGCAGCTGATACTGGGACTGGTGTCTCTTGGCACAGGGCAGGGCTGCCTCTCTTGCCCTTCCAGAAAGCCCTTGGACAGTGCTGCAATATAGCTGCAAGCACCTATAGAAAGGGCCGCCTGTTGGCCTCTATTCTGGAGGCCAAGACCTCAGAACAGACTGCGTTCACCAGTGCCACCAGCACCACTGGCATCCCAGTGACAGCAGTGCTTGACTGTCTTCACCCAATACACTCTGAATCTCGTCCCAAAATGAAAGCAATTTGCAGCTGGGATAGATGAACTTAATTTGATATGAGGCAAATGGTGCCTTTTCCACACCAGGTAAAGATGTGGAAGGCCAGAGATGTGGACTTTGCCATTCTGGAGCACATATGGGGTCAGGTCAGGTTTTTCCCTACAAACAGGAGAAGCCATGTGGTTTTTGTATAATTTGGAACGTTTTCTTACAGAATGAAGATTGATTAGACGCCTGGAGTTCCCCAGAAACAATGTTGATAGTGTTAGCAGCCTGCGTGCCACAAGAACCCATTCATAAAAAAGAAATCCTCATTTTATAATTTTTTTTTAAACTTTACG